TGGGCCTTTCCCAGAAATAAATTCTTGGTAGGAGGTATAAAAGATCAGTTCCTCCAAGCAGAGCAACTCACCTTGTTGCCATAGGAGGCCAAGGCACTTGGCAGGTAAGACTCATTAACTTTCTTCTTTCCTGGTTTCTGCAAAGTTGATGATGACATTTCCTCAAAGGCTTCTCAGAAAGTTTAGTACTGGATTTGGACTTGTCTTCATTGGGCATTTTCTGGTGCCAGACTTGGCAGCCACCATGGCGGTTCATTTCTGTTTGGTGTAAGGGAGAATGGGATTAAATCCATTGTGGGACTAGGAGGATTTTCTGAATCTGAGTCACAGAATCATAAACTCCTAGGGCTGGAAGGTACCATAGATAGACCTCTCACCCATCCTGTTTAGGAACCAAGGCCTGAGAGATAGCACATGTTTGGGGCACACAGAAAGTTGGGGAAAATGTAACAAAATGATGCTCTGTGTCCAAAATGATGCTCTTGAGACTGGTATGACGTCATATGAAAATTTTGCAGTGTTTTAAAGCATTTCCTAAGCCAGGGCTCTCAATTCTTCATCTTGTTTCCAGCATGTCATGCCTGCTGCCTACAGTAGGTCCGAACGTCAAGTTAGCCTTGGCTGTCTGGTCCCAGGTGTCTTCACTGCCCTGTGGACAGCTGGCTCTCAGTCAGGTGTATGAATTGCAGCAATATCAGATGGGTTTCATTTTGGAAGAATGGAATGATCGAATCATGTTGTTTTTTTGTGTGTGATTGGGTGTCCCAAACCCTGTAGCTGAGATGGAGGATTATTTCTACTGTAGATGGCTTGATAAGAGCTATCTCCTCATATGGGATGTTTGTTGGTTTTCCTATTAGCTCATCCCATTACCTTCAACAGAGCTTTGCCATTCATGAAAAAGAATCTTACAAATTCCTTCCCTTTTCAGGTCTTTCCTGCAGGCTCCCTGGTGATTTCTCAGCAAGGCTGAGAACCAGACTCTGAAAGGCCTTGGAATTCAGAGTGTGGCCTGTAGACCAGCAGCATCAGTATCACTGAGAGCTTGTTGGAAGTGCAGACTCTCGGGTCCCTTCAATGACCCTCTGAGTCAGAATCTTTATTTAACATGGTCCCTGGGGGATTAGTGGGCACACCAAGGTGTGAGAAGTCCGATAAGGGACAATCACCACCCTCTAACCTCTGCACCCTCCAGATGCTGAATTTCTTTGCTCTAGGAGGTTCATTTATTCAGCACACTCCTAACACCTATCATGTACTGACGCTAGGCTTGGGTGCTGGAAAAACAAAAATAAATAAGACCTAGCCCTTGAGGAGCTCATGGTCTGATAAGTGACACAGATATGAAAACAGTGATGTGAGATATGAGTTAAGTACTGTGGGAGGACAGAAAAAGGAATGACTTAACTTTGCCTGGAGAAATCTGGTACACTTCACAGAGAAGTTGGCATCGGGCCTAGGTTTTGAAGAATGAATAAGAGTTTACCAAGCAGAGAGGGCATTGCATAGGAAGGAGTGTGAATAGAGGTAGGGGACTGCGGACCAGCCTGGCATATGAGGGGTAATGGCTGCAGCTCTGCCTCCAGATAGTGCTTCATGTTCCAGGGAAGGCTCCAGGCTTTACTGCCACTTAAGGGGCTCGGGACATGGTTTCTGCGCTGAGCATGATAATAAGGATGAAAGTAATAATCTAAACATCACAGAAGCCTCTTGTTGGTCTTATTCTCTGAAGCCCCATGTCTTCTACCCTGTGCTCTGCTTGGCTCTGGCTGCAGACAGTGTCCCTCCAGGATCTTTTTACACATCCTTTCCAGTGGCATGACCTTATATTTGCCTGGCCCTTCTTTCTGTCCCACACCCTTCCTTTATATCCACCAGGAAAGGTGGCTGACACATGGAAAATAATTTCCCTTTGGCCTCGAGGTCTCCTCCAACTTCTCAGTGAGGAGAATATGAAAGAGGTTCCAAAAACAGGAGAGGAGAAATGAGTACCTAAGGTTTTTTTCCTGTTCAGTTATCTCAACTTTCATGTCTTTGACTATGATATTTTTCTTCCTCAGCCTATCTCAGATGATGCCTTTTTTCCATAGACTAATCTTTTACTTTTTGTTTTTATTATGAAACATATTAATCATTGAAAGAATACTATAATGAATACTTGTGTGCCCACCAGCCCTCTCAAAAAAAATCCATGATAGGATGGTTGCCAGGGGCTAGGAGGAGGGAGAAATGGAGAGTTAGTGTTTAGTGGATATAGAGTTTGTTTTGCAAGATGAAATAGTTCTAGAGATCTGTTGGACAACAGTATGAATATACTGTTCACTACTGTACTGTATAGTTAAAAATGATTAAGATAGGAAATTTTATGCTAGTGCTTTTACCACAATTGAAAAATATATATCAATGAGAACTGTTACTCCCAAACTATGATTTTTGTTTGCTTTAAAAGGTAGGTTTCTGCTGGCTCAATGGTCTCTTTGAGTCACAAAGAGTAGGGCTCTGGTTCTAATTGGAGCCATAGAGATGTAAGGACAGGCACCCATTGAGGGGTCAAGCTGTTTGAGAATTCCTCTTGGAAAAAGAAATGACAGGAGGAATTTTGGCTAGAGAGATATTTTTTCATACCTTGCCTTGTTTCTAGAGCTAGCTTATAATAAATACATTCAACAAGATAAAAATTATTAGGGGGAATCACAAAAGATCAGAGGAAAAGATTGGGGGAGTGTAAGAGAGGCTAAAATCACCCGGTCCAGATACACAGTTTTCTTTTTCTGGTCTGGCCTAACCCAAAGGGAGATTATCCAGAGAATGCCTGGAAGACCAGCTGGGTGGTCTCTCAGCAAAGCTCCAGACCATGATTTCTCTTAAAGAGCTTCGAGTAGACATGGAGGGGACAGCCAATCTGAGGACGTTCTCCTTGGTGTGTTTTTGGAGTCCACCAGTGAATGCACGCTGAGGGGAGAACCTGTGCCTTCTTGTAAGAGTTGAGCCTAGTCTATCTGCATAGCACGAATGCCTCCCTGGGCTGCATAGCACGAATGCCTCCCTGGGCTGGAGCTAGCGCCCTCTTGTGAGAGTTGAGCCTAGTCTAAACTCATTCCACCTGTATAGCACGAATGCCTCCCTGGGCTGGAGCTAGAATCTCCTCGAAAGATATTTGGGGTCTAGTCCACCAAATCTAATGAACACTCTAAGCCCCATCTGCATAGCACGAATGCCTCCCTGGGCTGGAGCTAGAATCTCCTCGAAAGATATTTGGGGTCTAGTCCACCAAACCTAATGAACACTCTAAGCCCCAAAGCCCCTCATTAGCAAACAAAGCTACACAAATTTTAGTCTGATGATTTAGGTTCAGAGTTCAAGCTCATGATGCAGGGGTTCATCTAGGAGCCGGACTCTCTCCAGGCAGCCTGGCACACAGCTATGGGTTCAGGGGAGTCTGAGCTTGGCTACACCTTTCATTCATGTGTTCTTATCCAATTGGCTTTTTGAGGGAGGGTGAAGCTCCTGCTGGTCCTGAAGGGGGGAGCTGAGTGCCTGCTTCTTGGGCACATTCTCCTGGTGTTAGCCAGAGGAGGATGGCTTATAGGGAGCAATATCTCCTAAAAGAAAAGAGGGAGGAAAACTCCACAAACATGCTTCAGGTTTGGTGACAGCATTTCTCACAGCTGTGGCAATATGGGAACAGGATCTCTTGTCAGAGCAGAATCATACATCCTGGATCACTTGGCAGGTCAGGGACCCGCCAAGAGATATTAAGTAACCTGGCCCATGTCACAGAGCTAGTTAGAGCAAAGGCAAGAGCTACAACTCAGGGCCTCCAGACTCCAAAGCCTGAGTTCCGTCCCTCCTACCACTGCCTCTTTCCAGTACCAAGCATGGGCCTGTACATACGGTAGATGCTTAGTTAATGTAGCTTCCCCGTCTCTGTTCCCATGTTAGAGCATCTGGTGTTCCCTGGGTTTCTCCGCTTTACCATCCCTTTTCTGTGATTCAATCCCTCCCACGGGGACTCTGCAAGTTCACACCATGATCCTGGTCTTGTTTCAGCCATGCGGATCCTTCTCCATCTTCCAGCCCTCCTGGCTTTCCTCACCTTGCTCTGTGCTGCAGCGTCTGCCACAAGTGGTAAGTGTCACCCCGTGTCAGTTTCCTGGGGCTGCTGTAATAAAAGACCACAAACTGAGTGGCTTAAGACAACAGAAATTTATTCTCCTACAGTTCAGGAGGTTAGAAGTCTAAAATCAAGGTGTCAGCAGGGTCATGCTCCTCTGAAGTCTCTAGAGGAGGATGCTTCCTTGCCTCTTCCAGTGTCCAGTGGCTCCTGGCAATCCTTGGGACTCCTTGGCTTATAGCTGCATCATTCCAAACTCTGCCTCCATCTTCACATGGTCTTCCCTGTGTATATCCACTGTGTGTCCTCTCTTCTCGTTAGACCACCACTTATTGGATTTAGAGCTCACCCTAATCTTGAACCTATATAACCTCGTCTTCATTAATTACATCTACAAAGACCCTATTTCCAAATAAAGTCACATTCTGAGGTTCCAGTAGGATGTGTACTTTAGGGGCACACTATTTCACCCACTATTCATCTTGCCCACCCCACCTCCAAGTCCCCAATACAAGTGGAAACAAGGAATCCTACCTCCACCCTATGCCATCCCCTCCCTACTTCAGAGTCCTGGTGGTCAGCTAAGCCCTTGATGGACTTGCTTAAGGGTTCAGCTCACCGAGAACCAGAAAAAATGCCTACAGCCCAGTAGCCTGAGCCAATCTGAGTTACACATCTTCTTAATCCCATCACTGGGTATTCTAGTGCAGCAGTCCTCAACCTTTTGGCACCAGGGACCGGTGCTCCTATGAGAATCTAATGCCCGATGATCTGAGGTGGAGCTGAGGCAGTGATGCTAGCGCTGGGGAGCAGCTGCAAATACGATGAAGCTTCGCTTGCTTGCCCACCACTCACCACCTGCTGTGCGGCCCTGTTCTTAACGGACCGCGGACCATGGCCAGGGGTGCTGGGGATCCCTGTTCTAGTGGACTCCTAAAGAACAGTTTTGACATCTTACTGAGGATCATAGAGTGTCCTTCTTATTCTGTGCTTTTTGTGCTTGAAAATTCTTGTGAAAGTTTCCTAATCTTGATCTATTTATTGCCTGCTCAAATTTGAGAAAGAGAGAGACAGAAGGAGAGGGCACCGTGTGTCTGATACCCTGCTGCTTGTTTCTCCCCCTCCAAGCACAGGCCACAAGGACCGCTGCCTTCTCTGATATTGTGAATCAAGTTAAGGTCCAAGTCAACAAGGCCTTCCTGGATTCCCGGACCAGGTATGTGAGACATACACACACAACATACTTCCCTTCATACGGTTCTTTTTAATGACAAGCACATGAGCCAAAGCAATTATATAACCCGCCCTTCTACCTCCCTGCCTCAGAGCATGTGGCAAGTAGGAGTAATAGTCCACAACTCTTAAAATCTTCATCCTGTAGGTTACCTTGAAGAAGATGTCTAATCTAATCCTATGAGCATTTTCTTTTACTTGGCAAACGTTTCCGTGGGTCATGTATTCCAGAGTCTCAGAAAGCTCATAGAAGGAAGTTCTCTATTTATTCAACTAATATTGACTGACTTGGGTGAGGTCGTAGAAGCAGAACCTGAGTTGAGACCTGGGTTCATGTGCAGGTGACTTAGTAGGGAGCGCTCTCAGGAATGCTGTAATGGAGTGAGGAAGCGAAGAGGTAAAGGGAAGAAGCTAAGCAAGGGTGTGATTTAAGCTCTAGCCTCTGCCGACCCCACAGGGAGATCTGGAGTGTACATAGTTCCTGTCCCACCTTGGAGCAAGGAAGCAGAGCTTTCATCTGCCAAATGTCTCCTTGACATCAGTCAGAATGGCTTAGGATTGGGAGGAGGTGTAGCATGCCTGTCACCCCCAGGCACCTTCAACAGGCAGCCCCTTTGGCTCAGGAGCAATCCCTTAAGGTGACAAGTGTGAGCCTTCAGCAGCTGCGCCAGGGGCAGGTAGGGAGAGCACACCAACCTATAACAGGATCTAAGGGTTCTCAGGGATTCCACGGGACACCAGCAGAGTTGGCCACCTTCCAATCACATATAGAGGCTGGAATTCCTGAAATGAGCAATGCAGACTGGGTCCCTGGCTTCAGAAACTCGGGCTAACGAGGCAGACAAACAAGAGCAACCACTGTATTGAGCAGAAAATGACCTTATTCTTTCTCTCCCTGCCCCTTTACACTTGGCTGGGGGCTTCATTCCTCCTTGGCCCTTGAATGAACTTTCTAGCAGTCTCATAACTTTTTTGCTGACTTTTAGATGAAATGTTGCATAAGAGGACAAAGTCCGGAGCTTCTCACTACCCTCAGCTTTTGTGATAGAAGGGTCTGCTTGTCCTCTTTTCTGGGTTCCTACTCCAGGAAACGTTTTTGATTCCTTAGGGATTAAGCTTGGGGAGAGACAAGCAGCTCTGCTTTGGAACTTGTCCCCACTGGTTAGTTTTTGGACTTAGGGGCCTCATGGAGAATTAAAGAATCGCATTTAATCAGCTCGTTATATAAGCCCACAAACAATCTGGTAACTCAAGGCTGGTGATAAGGACAGTGAAAGAATAGGCAGAGCAATTGTCGCCACCCAGGTACAGGGATCAGGAAAGGCTGATGGAGGGTGAGAAGGAGCTGGCCCTGTAAAGAGGCAGACAGATGGCATTCCAGGGACCAGAGAGAGCAAAAGAAAATGCCCTGGGGCAGGAAAGAGCTTAGGGTGCTCGGGAAACAGAAGGCCCATGCTGGTGGAGGTGGTAGGTAAGGAGGAGGTGGGGACAAAGAGGTAGACCCCAGGGGCCACAGAGTCAGAAAGCAGATTAGTGGTTGCCAGGGGCTGGCAGGGGGAGGGGTGAGAAATGGGGAGTGACTGCTTAAGGGTTGTGGGGTCTCCTCTGAGGGCGATGAGAATGTTTTGGAACTAGATAGAGGCAATGATTGCATAACATAATGAGCACGTATGCAGTAAGCAGATGGTTTCATCCACGTCCCATGGTAAGCCAGGGAAGTGCTTTAATCAGAGGGTGGTGTGGTCTGAATTTCATTCTAAAAAGCTCACTCCAGCAGCCATTTGGAGAACGGATGAGAGAGGGACAGGAGCGGAGGCAGGAGCCCAATTAGGAGGCTGCTGCGGCCCACCAGATGGAAGAGGACAGTGGTGCCTAGGATGAGGGTGGAGGCCGTGGAGATGGAAAAAGAGCTCCTGCAAAGCCCTGCCTGCTCCCACAGAGCCCAGCCCCGATGCAAAGCAGGAGGTAATTCCCAGTGAGTCAGTGTGCAGGCAGAAGAACCATGCAGGGCAGATGGAGGAAGGAAGGAGCCCATAGAACCGCGTTGGTACCTTTCTTTGTTCATGGGGCGGAGGACCCTTAGAGACCTGGCTGATGATGATGATGGCACTGATACACAATAGAGATACAGATACAGAGCCAGATACAACTCTAGGTACTTAATTTCTTCCTCCTCAAAATCCTGTAAAGCACTAAATCAAACTACATGAAATGGCTGTTTTTGAGGTCAAAATGATTAAATAGCATGGTTCAATCTAAGGTTACTATCATTATCCTCTTATGGATAGGAAACTGGGCCTGGAGATTGAGTAACTTCCCCACAAGCACCCAACTAGAAAGTGGCAATCAGGAACTCAACCCAACCCATGTGTCGCAAGACCACCTGCAAGGCCCTGATGTCAGTGACGCTCAGATTCCGGGTTCACAGAGGGGTAAACTGATCCTGGCGGACGCAGGCTTCAAACTCGTCCTCTCAGCCCAGACTCTAGGCCAATGCCGTCCAACAGAACTTTGTGTAGGGATGAAATGTTTTGCATCTGTGCTGTCCAATACGGGAGTCACCAACACATGTAGGTATTGAGCGCTTGAAATGTGGCTAGGACCACTGAGGAAGTGAATTCTTAATTTTATTTAATTTTCATGAATTTCCATTGAAGTAGCCACGTGTGGCTGGTGGTTACCCTACTGGACCGTGCAGCGGTCTGGGCCACTGGCCCATGCTGTCTCTTGCAACAGCAGCCAAAAGGCAGTCTGGCTTATTTTCTTGGGTTCCTTTTAATCAAGGTTGAGGCAGGCTGGAAGCAGGTAGGCCTGGTGATTAGAGCCCAGTCATCACAGTTCTTATGCCTGCCCCACTTGCCCATGAAGCCCCTCAGCTGAGATACTAGAGCCCCTCGCATTTAAAAGAGAGTTAGTAACTAATCTATAATGACAGGCCAGGTGTTACCATCAAGGAATTGTACTCCACAGCAGGGCTGTCTTTTGTGAGAATTCGAGCTCCTTCAGATATTACAGAGTCCTAGAGCCTTAGAGATCACCTCAGAGAACACCCTCATCACACACATGAGGAAACTGAGGCACGGGGAAGGGGCGAGGGTTCTCGTGGAGTGACTTTACTGACTACGCCTTGCCTCGGTCATCTGTGTCGTCACGGACTTCGTAGAAGGGTTTTCAGCTTCTCATGGTATATATGGGACCTTAAGGAACAAAAGGGCTGACCATCTGGCCCAAGAACTGGTCAGCAAGAGGCTGGATACTACGACCACATCTAAACAAACCCCACACTAACTCCAGGGCCAGAAGCAATTAAGGATGTTTTTATGGGCAGAACTGAAGGCCCATAAACATGTTATTTCTAGAATTCTTGGTCCACAGGCTCGATGAGATGCGAGCTACACGTCAGGGGTTCCTCAGTCTGAATCAGTACATCTTGGGACTTGGGTGTTTTTAAGGTTTCCCCAATCTATTCTAATGCAACCAGCATAGATTCAACCCTCTGATTCTAATTCAGGCAGCGCTCACGTTCAGCTGCAGGGCCTTCCCTCAGAACCAGACCTAACGAAGACACACAGTAGCTTTCCTTCCCGAGGCATCAGAAGAGAACTTAGAAAAGATCTTGAGAGCACAGGAAATGCTTGTCTCCTGTTTGCTACCCACAACCCTCTCCCCCACGGCTCCTCCCTATATACACACCACCTCACACCTGACTTCCCCTTCACTCTTTATTGTAGGCTGAAGACCGCCTTGAACTCTGAGGCACCTAGTCCCCGAGAGTTGTCAGAGTACTTCAAGCATGCCAAAGGCCGGACTCGCACAGCCATCCGCAATGGGCAGGTGTGGGAGGAGTCCTTAAAGAGACTGAGGCAGAAAGCGATCCTGACCAATGTCACAGGTACAGAAAACTCACCAGCTCTCTGATGGTAGGAAGAGGTCGTCTCTATCTCCTGGAGAGAGAGAGCAGAAGCCACCATAAGCTGCGTTCCTCGTGAGGCGCCATCTCCTCGAGGCAGCACTTCTGTCTCTCTCTTCTTGGAACCATAGACCTGCAGAGCAAGGAGGGGCTGAGAGGACAGCTAGGCCAATGCTCTTTTTTGCAGAGAAAGGAACTCAACTTCAGCAGGGTCACATTGCTAACTCCAAATGAGGGGACATTCATGCTCTTAGTATAATACCATCTGTAAGACCTCTATCTCGAGGCAGTACGAACGTCAATAAACATGGGCGCCTTATCCAAACCACAGTGTCATCACTGAAGAGGACATTTAAGCCACCTATGTCTGGGAGACTTACTGGGATTATTTCACAGGAGATGAGATTTCCATCTTGTTCTGAATAACGTAGAGGTGAAACAACGAGCTCGATGGACTGATCGTGACCTCCTCCAACCCCACCCCTCCCACTCCTTAGCTCGTGGAGAGTCATGGAGGAAGGGGTTTGGTCCTGACTGGAGCAAAAGATTGCAGGTTCTCCCTGAGCCAGGACTTGGGCAAATTCCAAAGTTCCAAAATAAGAAAACTGGAACAAGGTAGGGAGAAGTAGGAAGCACTTTAGATTTGAGATTCAAAAGTTGCTGGGGGTCAAACCCTGGCCCATGCCAACTTTCACAGATGGTCCCCCTGAAGAAGCCCGGTAGGGTCAGATTCCCCTGCCTGTTTTTCATTGCAGGCGCCAGGATGGATCACAGGCTGCATTACGAGATTGGCAGCTCTCTCCATTCTGTGCCCAGGTGGAAGCCTCTGATGCCTGAAGCCCCCCATTATTACTCCTCCCAAGACCACAGTCCCCCTCACTTAAAAATCACCTGTCCCTCCCCAACATCTTCCCTATCCAGATTCCTGCTTGCTTTGTACTTTAGATGTCAGTGAAGCTTTAGAAGAAAAGCATCTTATCAAACTAACTCATACTAGAGGTATTTTTATTCTAGTATGGTATTTTTATTCTAAAAGAAAATATCTGTTAATTCAAATGACCAGTTAGACAAAGAATTACTAACAATTCTGAGGACTTTAGCAGTTACTATCTGTGTGGCCTTAGGCAAGGCTCTTGAGCACTGTGGTCTAGTTTCTTCTCTGCAGAATAAGAAGTTAAATTCTTACCTTAGTGATTAAGGGAGAAACCACCTCAGAAATGCTTACTTAGAACATAGAATGTATTCCCAAAAATGTAAGTTCACCCCTGGTTTTGGTTTCCTGCCGCCCCCAAGTGCCTGAGAATAGAGAAAAAACTCAGTCCCTCTGGGGTCTCTTCTGTTTCAGACCCCAGCCTGGACTTGACTGCCCTCTCTTGGGAGGTGGGCTGTGGTGCCTCTGTTCCTGTGGTGAAGTGTGACTACAACAGCCCGTACCGCACCATTACGGGAGACTGTAACAACAGGTGAGTGGGCTTGGGTGGCTGTGGGGGGCCGGCCCTCCCCATCACCATGCCCTGCCCCCCTGTGCCCCTGCCCAGCCAGGGGCTTTGCCACTAGGGCATTCCAGGCAGAACTCCCACTGACTTACCCTCCTAAACTTGGTGTCCCGCCGGGATCTGTTCCGTTGGAACCCTCCCCTAACTCCCCCACCTTCTAAAGGGACCGCTGGATCCCACTGGAAGCAGCACATTTCCCCAGGGCAGAGACGTCCCCGCGCCTTCGGGGACGGAGGCTAGTTCAGAAACCCCACGTTTGAGAGGCAAAGGCTCCCGGGTCCTTCCCCATGGGATCCCCGTGGGGTTTGAGGAGAAGCGAACCCGGGAGCGGCCTGGCCGAGGCTGAGGGCGGGTCCTGCTCGGTTTCAGGAGGAACCCCGTGCTGGGCGCCGCCAACAGAGCGCTGGCGCGCTGGCTGCCGGCAGAGTACGAGGATGGGCTCTCCCTGCCCTTCGGGTGGACAGCGGGGAAGACGCGGAACGGCTTCCCAATCCCGCTGGTGAGGTCGAACCCCGAGCAGGAGGATGAAGGATGGAGTCAAAGGGAAGGGGATGCACCCTCCTCACACTCAAAAGGGAAGAAGAAGAAATAGGTGAAGGACAGAGGATGCACCGCGGAGCCGGATCGGGAGCGGGATGGACATTTGGACTTGCTGCCTGGTGATGTTCCCCCAAAATGCCGCCAGAGGGCAGCAGAGCTCGGAACCTGGAGTCGGGGGCCCAGCCACGTGGCGGTCACGTCCCAGCTGCCCATAGGCCAGATACCCTGGGGTCTTCCAGGACAGATGGCCTGCCTGCCCCATCCTGCTCGAGCTTACCCTGACCCGGCCCCTGGAGTGCATCAGCTGTCGTTGGCCTGGAGGTCCTATCTGTTGGCCTCATCTGAGTTGGCAGCCCCTCCCCAGGGCCCCTCTCCTCCTCCCAGACACCTGGCACTTCCACAGCACTTCAGAGGCAGCCTGTTTTTGCTGTCCCTCTCCATAGTGGAAAGGGCACTGGCCTTGCAAACCATCAAGTCATGCAGACCTGTGTTCAATCTTATCCCTGCCCCTTTGTAGCTGACCTTGGAGAATTGACCTCACCTCTCTAGGACGCGGTCTCCTCATCTACAAAATGGGGGTAAATGCCACCCACATCACAAGTTCGTCATGGGGATTAAATGTACCTGTTATATCATAGGTACTCAAAAACCTGCAGTCGAATCTGAATCCACAAAGCACTTTTCCCCCAACCCTCCCTCTCCCCTTCTCTTTCCTTCTGTAGGCCCGTGAGGTATCCAACCAGATTGCAAGTTACCTGAATGAGGAGGGTGTTCTGGACCCAAACAGGTCCCTGCTTTTCATGCAGTGGGGTCAAGTTGTGGACCATGACCTGGACTTTGCCCCCGACACTGAGCTCGGGAGCAGTGAGTACTCCAAAGCACAGTGTGACAAGTACTGTATCCAGGAAGATAACTGCTTCCCCATCATGGTAAGCCCTGCAGCTGCACGTCCCTGACAAGCCCATTGCCTCCTCGATAGGGTAGACGTTCTCAGCCCATCCACCAGGGTTCCCTGATAGATCTTGAATGCTGATTTGACAGCTTCCCGAACCTCGCATGTCCATTCGTTCACCCGCTCATCCATTTATTCAGTAAATAGATGTGAGTCATCAACTCTGTGCTAGGCAGTGCACTAAGAGCTGGGGATTCAAAGGCGAATAACACTGTTCCTTCCCTCGAGGACAAAGAGCCTGTGTGGGAAATGGACAAGTAACCATTAAGGGCAAAGTTGGGAGGCTCTGGGGAGGGTTGTCTATATCCCTGGCCAGCAGCATTGGTATCACATGGGAACTTATGAGAAATGGAAAATCTCAAGCCTCAACCCAGACATTGGGAAACAGGATCTACGCTTTGCCAGGATCCCCAGGAGCTTCATTTATGCACACAGGAAAGTTTGTGGAACACTGCCACAAGTGATCCTGGGGTCTGGGAAGGCAACCTCCAAAAAGAGCTAAAATTCAATGGCTGAATCAGAAATTGTGAGAATTTCCAGCAGGAAGGGAGGAGGAACTTGCAATGGTGCACCTTTTCTCCTTACTCATGGATTTTATGGCTAGAGAGTGGTTTATGCACTCAAACAACAAATCAAGGCTATGTGCTGTGGAGTGAGGCCGATCTGGATTTAAAGCTCACATCTTTCCCTTCTAGTCTGTAAGTTTTTGGGCAAATTAGTTAACCTTTCTGAGCCTCAGTTTTCTCACCTGTACAATGGAACTGAATTAGCTACCTTACAGGGTTTTATGAAGACCAAAGGGAGATAAAGTAGGCACAGTGCCTGGCACATGGTAAGTCCAAAATAAATACATGGTAGCTGTTGTTGGTAGTAATTATTAACAAATCTTTTCCTATCTCATGCCCTGCTTCCCTGAATAGGGATCTCAGGA